GCGTCCGCGCCGTCGTTCACGCGCGCGTCCGTCGCGTCGCGCGCGCGTCGTCGCGCGATGCGCGATCGCGATCGCGCGCGTGCGTCACACAGACATATTCTTCACAGAGTACACCATATGCACTCGTACAGAACATCCAATGTTGATCGGATATCAGTAACCCCTCGAGACTTTCGCCTATTTGTATCAAATGTATCGATGTCCCGCACACCGCGCGATCGCGATCGCGATGGATGTCGACGCCCACGACTCGAGAACCGTCCCCCCCCCACGGTCGAGTCATGATCCATGATCGCCCCCGCGATCGCGCGCGGGAGATTTTTTCCCGCGTCGTGATCCATCGCACACGGGTGAAAACCCCCCACCGCGCGCCCGTCGCCCGCGCGCGTCGTGCGCCGCTCGTTTTCGCGCCAGCGTCATCGCATCGCATCGCGCGCGTCGCGCGCATTGTCGCGCGCGACGACCGCGTGAAAGATGTCGGCGACGCGCACCTCGCGCGCGCGTGTTCCGTACGTCGATCGCGCGTCGCGGCGTCGCGCGCGCGCGTGGATGCGCGACGCGCGCGAACGACGGTCGGGGATCGACGTCGACGCGCGAACCGACGGATCGCGATCGTCCGAGAGCGACGGGTGTTCGGGACGATCGCGACGTCGTGACGACGGCGCGGGCGTCGTGGTGGGGGTCGATGACGTGTGGAGTGACTGACGAATGCGTTCGGCGGTGTGTGCGCGCGCGCGCGTAGGATGAGTCGAACGGCGTTCGAGGCGAAGACGAATGCGCGTCGGGCGGGACGCGCGGGCGTTCGCGCGCGGGCGAAGGAATCGACGACGACGATCGCGGAGATCGCGAAGAGTACGCGACCGATGAAGATTGTTTTTGTTTCCGCGGAGTGCTCGCCGTGGAGTAAGACCGGGGGGCTCGGGGACGTCGTCGGGTCGCTTCCGGTGGAGCTCGCGAAGCGCGGGCACAAGGTGATGACCGTCTCTCCGCGTTACGATCAGTACGCTGGCGCGTGGGACACCTCCGTGCACGTCGAAGCGCTCGGCAAGTCTGTCGGGTTCTTCCACGAGAAGAAGCAGGGCGTCGATCGCATCTTCGTCGATCACCCCGACTTCTTGGCCAAGGTTTGGGGCAAGACGGGTTCCAAGCTGTACGGCGAAAAGTCTGGCCACGACTTCGCCGACAACCAAGAGCGCTTCGCGATGTTCTGCCACGCCGCTCTCAAGGCGCCGATGGCGCTCACCGATCTTGGTTACGGCGAGGACGTCATCTTCGTCGCTAACGACTGGCATTCTGCGCTCGTTCCGGTCATCTTGAACAAGGTGCTCAAGCCGGCGGGCATGTTTGCCAAGGCCAAGTGCGCGATGACCATCCACAACATCGCCTTCCAAGGTCGCTTCTTCCCGCAGCCGATGTCCAAGTACGGCTTGCCGGAAGACGCGGCTGACGACTTCTTCTTCGAAGACGGTTACTCCAAGGTGTACGACGAAAACACGCCGGCCAAGGAGCAAGGTAAGGAGGACTTCGACGGCAAGATTTACCGCAAGGTCAACTGGCTCAAGGCTGGTTTCATGAACTCCGACAGGAACTTGACCGTGTCCGAGAACTACGCCAAGGAAATCGCTTCCAGCAAAGCCAAGGGCGTCGAACTGGACCACGTCATCCGCGAGTTCGGTATGGAAGGCATCGTCAACGGCATGGACCCGGCGGAGTGGAACCCGGCGAAGGACAAGTTCATCGACGTGCCGTACGACAAGACCACCGTCGTCGAAGGCAAGGCTGCGGCCAAGCAAGCGCTTCAAGCCGAAGTTGGACTTCCGCTCGACCCGACCGCGCCGGTCTTCGGTTACATCGGTCGTCTCGAAGAGCAAAAGGGCTGCGACATCATGTTCGAAGCCGTCCCGAAGCTTCTCAAGGCTGTCCCGAACGCGCAAGTCGTCATCTTGGGCACGGGTAAGAAGGTTATGGAAACGGCGCTCGAAAAGCTCGATGCCGCCGAACCGAACTGCGCCGGCGTCGTCAAGTTCTCCGCTCCGTTGGCGCACTTCATCAACGCTGGTGCCGACTTCTTGATGGTTCCGTCTCGCTTCGAGCCGTGCGGCTTGATCCAACTTCACGCCATGCAATACGGCACCGTCCCGATCGTCTCTTCCACCGGCGGTCTCGTCGATACCGTCAAGGAGGGTGTCACGGGTTACCACATGGGCGCCATGGATGCCGATGACCTCCTCCCGGCGGACGTCGACGCCATGGTTGAGACGTGCGCTTCTGCCGCGGCGGACTTCTCGACTCCGCTGTACAAGAAGATGTCTGCCACGTGCATTTCCCAAGACTTGACTTGGGCGGAGCCGGCGAAGAAGTGGGAAGGCGTGCTCGAAGAAATGTACTTCGGCACTCCGGAGACGACCAAGAAGGCTGAGGTTGTCGTTCCCATCGCCAAGGCAGACGCGCTCGCCGCTCAGACGTGAAACGCTTACGATGAAATTCTGATGATTCAAACACAATTCACCGCACGGTTCTAACCGTTTCACGAGACAACGTAGCGTTTCGTGTTGTAATAAAGTTACAGCGCTTGCGAGCCCAACATTTTTCGACAATTTCATTCGATTTGATTACATTTGTTCACGCAGCAGTTGAGAAGGCTTTCCCCTTTGAAAGCGCAACGTCGCCATACGCGGTTTCCTGTCCAACGGACAGGTACTCGTGCGCGTTCAAGACTAACACTTGGTAGAACATTCTAGCCGCTTCACGCTTCTTCTTGCCAGCGGTCAAGTCGTGGAGAGACAGCGGGAGATCGCCCGACGAGGCAAAGGCGCTCGTCAGGTGCTCCAGCATGAGCTTCGAGTTGACGTTCCAGTCAACCTCACCATCCTGTTCCTCTGTGTCGTCATCCACGGGCATTTCGTGATTCAGGTCATCTGCACCGACGAACCCGCCGCCGTCGGGACTGAATCCATCATCATCGTCGGCGTAGTTGAACTTCATGGCGAACGGAGTTGCAGTTTCGGCATCGTCACCCTCCCGTGCCGGACGAGCCTCACCCTCAGGACGCCCCCAGCATATGGTACTAGCCTTTCTATACGCATCATTGAGCTTGCTACCGACATCGCACGCCATCAATCGCGAACGTAAGCTTGCCTCTAACGTTTCTGGATCGGACAAGATGTCGTCTACGTCCAGTTGCATTGAGTCCTTGACGATATCGCGCGTATCCCTCAGTTGCGCGCGAATCTGGTCGTTTGAGAGCGCGGTAGCGCGATCGAACACGACCACGCGTTCGACCTTTCTACGCTTGCTGGCCGGTCCCGGAACACGATCATCCGGACGATCGCCGGCGATGCTCGAACCCGGAATGGATGGCAGAGGTAGCGCGCCGCCGAAAATGCTATCGCCGTCGATGCTTTGTCTGGGGCCAAAAACGTCGTCCTCCTGCATGAGATCAGGATCGAGCGCCAGCGGCATCACCTCCTGATCATCGTCACCGAAGCCATCGTCGTCAACCGCAGCGTTATCTTCGTCCTCCTCCGGCGGCGCAGCGTACTCGTCGTGCACGTAGTCGTAGTCCTCCAGCTGGACGCCAGCCTCCATGACTTGCGAACGGAAAACTTCAACCTCCACGTCGTCCTCGAGACGTTCGTCCTCCTCTGGTAAATGCTCATTGTACTCAAACTGCCCCTCGAACCCATCGTCATCGTCCGCGAGTGTGATGTGCTCTCTGCTCACACTCGCTCGACCCTGCGTTGCCCCCACGGACGCCGGGTTGAAAAAGAATTCCAAGTCATCGTAGTTATCCGGCAGTGTGATCGTCGCGTCCGGTGCCTTCGCCGCATCCGCTGGTAAATCCACCGTCCCCGGACGGAACACTTGCTTGATCTTCACCAAAGCCTCGGAGCAATCCTGGAAGAGATAGTTCACCTTGCGCCCGTAAATGCGAACCACCCCTAGCATCAATTGCCCGGACAACCTCAGCGCGAGCGGAGCCTCGGGATTGATGATCGATCCTACGACAACGAACGAGACGCACGTAAACACCGTCAGTGACCTCACTCTCGCTCACGCATCACGCTTCATCGCGCGCGTCGTACTTCTCCGTCGTCCCTCGCGTTCAAAATCCCACCCGCGTTCCTCGCATCCTTCTTTCTCGCGTCGTCGCCTCGCACACGTACGAACTGAAGACACGATGTCTGTCTCAGCGATCTGATTCTTCCGCAGTTTCCGATCGAGATGCGCGGCGATCCAGATCGTCCCGAGCGGGCCGCGCTTGGCGAGGATGTACTGCGAGTAGAACATGGTGGATCACGCGCTCTTTAAAACGCGTCGACGCGTCCGCGCGCGCGCACGTCTCGCGCGTCTCCCACGACGAGCTCGGACCGTACGTCGTCCTCGACGCGCGGCGTCGTATCGCGTCGCGATGCGGACGCGCGCGTGTGACGACGCGAAGGTGTGGGAATTCGATTTCAAACGCGATTCTCGGCGAACGGTCATGAAATCGGACATGTGGCATTGACGACGGGACGCGGACGGTTGCAAACGGGCTATCTATCGATGATGCAAGGAACGCCGTCTTCACGAAACCTGACGCGATCGTCGCACAGCGCGGCGACGACGGATGGGAACAGGCGGTGCTCCTGCTCGAGCACGCGCTCGGCGATCGCGAAGTGGTCGTCGTCGTCGAGCACCGGGACGCACGCCTGGGCGACGATCTTTCCCTTGTCAAACTCCTCGTCGACAAAGTGCACGGTGGGGCCGGTGAAGCGAACGCCCGAGGCGAGAACAGCCTTGTGAACGTTCTCGCCGTGCATGCCCTTCCCCCCGAACGCCGGGAGAAGCGCCGGGTGGATGTTCACCATGCGCCGCTCGTACGCTCGACACAGCTCGGGCGGTATCAGCCGCAGGTATCCCGCGAGTAGGACGTAATCCACCCCGCGCTCATCCTTCAGCGTCCGAACGAGCTCGTCCGCACTCAACCCTTCGTTCGTTGCCTTCTTTTTCGGATAAATTAACACGTCGATCCCTCTGTCCCGCGCCCACCGCGCGCCGCCGCAGTCGGGCGCGTTTGTCACCACGACTGCGATGCGTCCCTTGACCTCTCCTCGCTCGCACGCGTCCGAAATCGCGCGCATGTTCGACCCACCGCCGCTGACGAACACCGCGAGCGCTCGCGTTCCGCTCGCGTCCGCGCTCGAGCTCGAGGGCGTCGCGGAGAGGACGACGGCGAAGTTTCGACCTCGAGCGTTCGGGCGCTCGTGACGCGTCGACGACGACGCTTGGCGCTCGCGCGATACCGCGTGCCTCGTCGGACACGCGCGCGAGGCGATTGCGAACGCGGCGGTGGCGTGGGACATCCCGCGCGTCGAGGTGTCGAGTCGACTCGCGACTCGCGCGAGGGCGGCTGCAAAAAATACTCGACTCTAATCGCTATCGCTATCGCTATCGCTCTCGTCGCTGTCGACGTACGTCACGACGCGACGACGGTTTTGGTTCACCGATATTGGAGGTAAATCGTCGTCGTCGTCGTCGTCGTCGTCGCCGTCGTCGTCGTCTCTCACAGCCGCCGCCTCGTTGTCCTCCGCCTCCGCGTCGTTCAGCGCCTTCCGCAACTCCCGTCCCATCGCGCACCCGTCTCCCGCGTCTGCATCGCCCTCACCAATCACGTCCCTCTCCTCGAACCGCTCCGGCCAGCTTCCGTCGTTCCTTTTCCGCAATTCCTTCCTCTGCGTCTCGTACAGCACGCGTCGCACCTCTCCCGTCACCCGTTCTCCCTCTCGCGTCGCCGCCTCCGCGAACGCGGCGACGACGTGCGTGCCCTTCCGAAACCGCGCGAGATCCTTAAACTTATTCGGCACTCGCACGATCGCCCGCGTGCCGTCGTCGCCGCGCTCGACGTCGAGTAAGTTTGAGCCGAGGTTGGCGACCGCGACGCACACGACGTCGTCGTCGTCGAGCTCGACGACGTCGTCCGACGCCAGGTCGCGGACGTGTCGACGTCGTCGAGACATGCGCCGAGCGGGGAGACGCGAGCGCGTGCGGCGCCGCGCGCGCGCGAGTGCGGAGACGGTTGCCACCTCATTTCGAGAAAGTACACACGCGTCAGTGTGCGACGCGCGTTCGACGCGCGCGCGCGAGCGAGCGTTCGAACGGTCGAGCAGACGTGCGAAGGGCGTTCGTCGGCGCGTTCAGCGCGCGTCGAAAGAGTCCGCGAGGGACGAGCGGCGCCGGGCAGAGGAAGGATCTCCGTGAACTGGATCCTCGTCGCGGAAATCTCGAACGTCGCTCGTCGACGGTAAGCGCGCGCGCGATGGCGATCGATCACATGTCCGTGAAGTGCGTCGTCGTAGGCGACGGAGCTGTGGGGAAGACATCGATGCTGATGTGCTACGCGACGAACACGTTCCCGACGGATCACATGCCGACGATTTTCGACAACTACAGCAAAAACGTGACGCTGCAGGACGGACGAACGGTGAGCCTCGGGTTGTGGGACACCGCGGGTCAGGATGAATATGCGGCGTTTAGACCGCTGAGTTACGACGCGGCGGATGCGATGCTGTTGGCGTTCTCATGCGACTCGCGGGAGAGCTACGAGAGCGTGGAGACGAAGTGGGTACAGGAGCTACGAGCCAAGTCGCCTGGGACGCCGATCGTGCTCGTGTGCACAAAGATTGATCTCAGGGACAGCGCGAAAGGGGTTATTGGACGGGTGGAGGGGGAGGCTCTGAGCGAGCGCATCAAGGCGACGGCGTACGTGGAGTGTAGTGCGTTAACGCAGAGCGGCTTACAGACGGTGTTCGACACGGTTATTGATGTCCGTTTGCGCCCCGAGCTGTTCGCGAAGAAAGCCCAGGGTGGATGTTGTTCAATTCAGTGACGCATCGCGACCTTATCGCTTGTACTACTATACTACTTGTCACGCTTACATTTGCTCGATAACTTTAATCTTGACGTGTTCATCGCACAACGCGAAATTCATCGCTCGAATCGCCATGTCGCGAATATCGTTCATGGTGAGCCCAAACGCGTCACATGCTATGGCGTATTCGCGACGTAGCGTCGTATTAAATACCCAAGTGTCGTCCGTGCAGAAGCAAATTGGCGCGCCGTCTCTCAAGAGCTTCTTAGCGTGATGCTCCGAAACAGAATCGCACGAGCGCGTCATAACGTTGCTCGTTAAGCACAGCTCCACTGGAATCTTCGACGCCAGAAGACGCCCGTATAAATCATCATCTCGTACTGTGTACACACAGTGTCCCAGACGCTCGGGCTTGAACGCGATCATTTTCGCCTGCTCGTCCTTGGTATCCACGACTTCGCCGCAGTGCAACACGATGCCCAACCCAAGCTGTCTCGCCTCTTTGAGCGCATCCTCGTACAACTCCCAGCTCCCCTTATGCGGTGCACCGCTCAGGTCGACCCCAACAACGCCTCTATGCATGAACTCCGCCGCTAACTGCACCGTCTCCATCGCCTTTTCCTTTGTATCGTCCCGTCCTCGATCGATCGACAGCACGAGCCGAGCGACGCACCGACCATCGCTTCCATCCCCTAATCCCCCGGCGTCGGCCAATCCCGCACACGCCGCCTCCGTGTACGACCGTTTTGTCATCTTGAACTCCCCATTCGCCCCTACCAAATCCTTCGGCGTCGTCCTGAGCTCAACGTATGCGCACCCGTCTGCGCGGAAATCCTCAACGCACTCCGCACACACCCTTCGAATCGCGCTCGGCGTGTCACACGCCGCGTGCGCGATCGCGAATACATCGAAACACCTCTTTAAGGTCTCTCCTGGGCTCGAGTTCGCGGCTGCGCAAGAAAAAGCGCGCTCGAGCACTTCGTCACATTTCGATTCGAAACCTCTCTCTCGCGCGAGCTCTCGCAAAGTCTCCGGACGCACGCATCCGCCGACGTGCGCGTGGAGCTCGACTCCGCGGACGCATCCGCGCGTTGAGGTCATCGCGCGCGCGCACGCGTGAAGGAATAACGCGCGAGGAGAGTCGCACCGCACTTTTTGACGCATCGCTCTCAACGAAATGCGCCGACGATCGACGTCGCCCGCGTCGCGCCCGCCCGCGAAGAGGCACCGCACCGACGAGGACGCCGTGCTCGCCGCTGGCGGGCGACGGATCGCGCCCACGGGCATCGGACACGGGTGTTTGCACGACGTCGTTCGGCCAAAGGCGGCGGCGACGACAGACGAGACATCCACGAGCGCACCGAGGGACGAGGGCGCGATCGAGACGCCGACGAAGCCGGCAAAATCGTACCCGTTCGAGTTGGACACGTTTCAGCAGAAAGCGGTGGAGGTGCTGGAGCGGAAGGAGAGCGTGCTGGTGAGCGCGCACACGTCGGCGGGGAAGACGGTGGTGGCGGAGTATGCTATCGCGATGGCGATCAGAGACGGACAGCGCGTGGTATACACGTCGCCGTTGAAGGCGTTGAGTAATCAAAAGTACCGCGAACTGCGAGAAGAGTTTGAGGACGTGGGTTTGATGACCGGGGACGTGGTCATCAATCCGAGCGCTTCGTGTCTGGTGATGACGACCGAGGTGTTGCGGTCAATGCTATACAAGGGTGGCGAGGTCATGCGAGAGGTGGGATGGGTTATTTACGACGAGATTCACTACATGCGAGACAGCGAGCGAGGGGTGGTTTGGGAGGAATCGATCGTTCTTTTGCCGGACATGGTGAAGTATGTGTTCCTGTCAGCGACGATACCGAACGCTCGTGAGTTCGCAGAGTGGGTGTGTAAGACCCATAACCAGCCGTGTCACATCGTCTACACGGATTTCCGTCCGACGCCACTGGAGCACTATATATTTCCCGCGAACGGGGAGGGTATCTTCCTGGTCATGGATCGGCAATCGAATTTTAGGGACAGCAACTTTGAGCAGGCAGTCACCGTCATCTCGGACAGCGGAGGAACAGCCGCAGCGCGCGTGGCGAATCGAGGACGGGGCGATGACGGGAAAAACGAAGCCGTAAATCAAGACATTTTTAAAATCATTCGCATGGTGGTCGAGCGGAATTACGATCCTGTGATCGTTTTCGCTTTCAACAAGCACGAATGTGAGAAGATGGCTAACTCTTTGCACAAGGTCGACTTGTGTGACGACGACGAAAAGAAACTCATCGACACGATTTATTGGAACGCCATGGACGCACTGTCGGAAGAGGATAAACGATTACCGCAAGTTGCGAATCTACCGAATCTCTTGAGACGAGGCCTCGGCGTGCACCACTCCGGGCTGTTGCCAATTCTCAAGGAAGTGATTGAAATATTGTTCCAAGAGGGATTGATCAAGGTGCTTTTTGCCACCGAGACCATGTCCGTAGGCCTGAACATGCCCGCTCGTACGGTCGTGTTTTGTTCGCCGAGAAAGTTCGACGGCGCGGGCTTCAGATGGATCACTTCTGGCGAATATATTCAAATGTCAGGCAGAGCAGGTCGTCGTGGGAAAGACGACCGCGGTCTGGTCATCCTCATGATGGACGAGCGTATGGACCCACCGGTGGCGAAGAATATGTTGCACGGTCAGTCCGATACACTTGACAGCGCATTTCGCTTGAACTATGCCATGATTCTGAACTTGATGCGCGTCGAGGGCGCGGATCCAGAATCACTCATCCAATCCTCGTTCGCACAGTTCCAGAACGACCGCGCTCTTCCCGGAATCGAAGCGAAGATCGTCGAGATTGAGAAGGAGCGAGACGCCGTGCATATCGAAGATGAGAACGCCGTTGATGAATACGTTAAGTTACAAGACGGCCTCGACGCGATGATTCGAGAGCGGAGGGTGGTTACGAACACGCCTACGTACGCTGTTCCGTTTCTTCAACCTGGCCGTTTAGTTAGAGTGTGCACCAAGGTACCTTCGGTGTTCAATTCAACCGAAGAAGAAGCGATCAAGATTCCGGCTCCGGGGACAGAACCAGGAGAGGATGACGTCGTGTGGGGTATGATCGTCTCATTTGAACGCATCGGCGGCGGTGGTAAGTCTGGCAAAGCTGCATACGGCGTCGACATCTTGGTGCGCACTCGTGAAAACCGTAACGGCAAGACGCCGCTGACGGTAAAAGATAAGAGCGAAAGATACGAAATCGTGCTCCCGAACGACAGTGATGAATCGACGGAGCCGCGTATCCTCCGTTTCCCGCTTGAGCAGATCGACATCATGAGTAGCGTGCGCGTTTACCTGCCGAAGGATCTGCATCCGCGAGAGGCGAGAGATCAATGCATGAGCAGCGTAGGCGAGGTCATCAAGCGATTCCCAGATGGCGTTCCCGTGCTCGACTTCGAGAAGGATATGAAAATCAACAACGATAATTTCGCAAAGCTATTGAAGAGAATTGAAGGTATCAAATCGATGATGAGGAAGCATCCGATTGCTTCGAGCGAGCGCCTCCCAGAGAAACTCTACGCTCATCGAGAGAAGAGGCAGCTCTCAATCGCATTAAAGCAGGCTAAACGAGACGCCAAGGCAGCTGCGGGATTGATCATGCGAGATAAACTCAAGCAGATGCGACGTGTGCTGAGACGTCTTGGACACACGAGCGCCGAGGGCGTTGTGCAAACCAAGGGAAGGGTCGCATGCGAGCTCGCATCGGTAGACGAGCTCGTCACGGCAGAGCTCATCTTTAACGGAACTTTCAAAGAGGTGGATGTGGACATGCTCGTTGCGTTGGTATCATGCCTCGTTTGGCGCGAAAGATCTCGAAATGCAGCCAAGTTGAGCGAAAAAACCGCCGAGGTATACAATCGCCTGAAGGAGGTCGCACGCAAGGTTGGAAAGCAAATGGTCGAGTGCAAGATGCACGTCGATATCGAAGAGTACGTGGATGGTTTCAGAAGTGAACTTATGGAAATCATGATCGCCTGGTGTAAGGGCAATAAGTTTGCCGAAATCATGAAGATGACAGATTTATTCGAGGGCTCGATCGTTCGCGCTATTCGCAGAGTTGAGGAGGTTTTGCGACAGCTTGCCGACGCCTGTAGGGTGATAGGAGAGAATGAGTTACAGGAGAAGTTTCTTCTGGCGAGCGAAAAGGTAAAACGCGACATCGTCTTCGTAGCAAGCTTATTTTTGTAACGCGCGCGCAGTTGCGTTGGATCAGCTTGCAGTTTGTAGTTGAGAAGCTAGGGAATGAACAGGAACGAATAGCTCCTTTACAAGTCTAGTCCTGCGAACAACCCGTCGTTCGCGCAACAACCCACCACTCTAGAAACGACCCTCGCTTAGTTGCTCTTGGAACCGGAGCGAAGCTTCGCCTTTTGTCGGCGAGTAAGGTTCGCCGGTTCCGCCTCACGCTTGACCGCCTCAACCTTCTCGCTGACAACAAGCTCGATGTGGCATGGGTTGGACATGTACGGGTTGATGCGACCGTGCGCACGGTAGGTACGGCGGCGCTGCGGGATGGCCTTGTTGCACTGGACGTGGGACACGTGGAGGTTCTCCAAGTCCAAGCCCTTGGTGGTGGCGTTGCTACGGGCGTTGCCCAACAAGCCGAGGAGCGCCTCAGCGGCCTTCTTCGGCCAGCGACCTTGGCCATTGGTGGAGCCTTCGTTTTTCGCTTGCGCGGTACGGCCGACGCCACCACAGAAACGGCGGAACACGACGCATCGCTTCATCGCGAGCACATCCTTCAAGTATTGCTCCGCATCGGCGAGGGACTTGCCCTTGATGGCCTGGCAGCACTCGCGCATGTTCTTGAAAGAGATGCGAAGGTCCGAGCCACGCGCCTTGGCGGACTTTTCGGAGTCTTCCGGTTCTCTCGCGTACTTCACCATCTGCATTCGTCGCGCACACACGTCGCGTCGTCGTCAGTCATCTCGCTCGTCGATGTCGATTTGCCGCACTAGGGCTTGAGCTTAGGGTCACGCGACGTCTCTCTCGCCGTACTCGCGCGCCTTCGCTCGAGCCAATCGCCGATCGCGCGTGCCCATCGAGATGAATCGATCTTTCTCTATCGATCCATGCGTTGGACGTCGTCGCACACGCGTCGCTCGAGCGCCACCAGCGCGGAGCGGCGGCGATCGCCCGACACGCGTTTTCCACCTCGCTTCGACGTGCATCTTCCCCTGCGCGTCGTCTCGATCCATCATCGACGTCCATCCCGACGTCGTCCATACGCGCGCACGCCATCGCGCATCGTCGTCGAGTCATCGCGCGCACCTTATCGAAGCTCGCGCGGCGTAAAGAGACGGCGACGACGCCGACGGGCGCGCGGTCGTCGATGCGTCCCGTTTTTATAGCTCGAAATGTCGGACATTTGGGTAGTCGTATTGTGTAATTCTTGACCGTGATATGATTGTACTGCATACATAGCGATCTGTACATATTGGAGCGAATTGCTTGACGGTTGACGCGCCCCCGACGCGCGTCTCAACACCAAAGACGACGACGACGACGCGCGTCACGACGCGTCGGGCATGACGTACGGCGCGCTCGCGGGGGGACACGATGACGAGACGACCGCGCTCGTCAACCGAGCGCGGACGTCGCCGCGGCGCGCGTTCGTCGGCGGCGTCGTCGTCGGCGGCGTCATCGGCGCGTGCGTCGCGCTCGCGCTCGGGACGGCGTTCGGGCCCGCGCGCGTCGGTGCGGACGGGGGAGTGGGGATGGCGCGCGCGCGAGGACGGGCGGTCGACGCGATCGGTGACGCGTCCGTGGGTGCGCTCGGGGCGTTGCATTTTCCCACGGTGACGTGTCCCGCGAGCGCGGTGACGTTTTCGACGAATCTTCACAGCGTCTACGGTGACTCCGTCAGCGTGCGGCTGCCAGAAGAGTGCGGTTGCACACCCAGAATTGCGGGTCAAAGGAAATGTATATGCGTGGGTGGAGGCACGGTGAGTGTCGGCTTACCAAACGCTCACATCGATCTGCAACTTGAGTTACCGTCGATGGGTGGCGTGTCGTTTTGCGACATTGTCGACACGGTCAAGCAACTGCCCGAAATCGCCGACAACCTCGTAACTAAATTAGAGTCTCTCGTCGGATTAATCTGGGATCCATGGTTGAAGATCAACGAAAATACTTTGCTCGAAATGATTCAGACGACGTTCGTAGACGCTATGGACGGCTTTTCAGCCACCGCCGCTCTTGGAGGAGCGCGCGGTGCTCAAAGCGCGGACCGAGCGGAGTTTCTCACCCATCTTCGCGATAACGTGAAGAGAGCATTTGAAGGCAAAGATCTCGTCGAAAGTTCGAGCATCTCCGGAATGCGCGGTAATTCTACGTACCCCGATGTGGGTTCGCTTGGTACTGGGTCTGGCTACTGCTATAACATACCATTGCAAGTGTTCAGTGACTACGAAAGTCCGAGCCCTGATATGCCCTGGCCGGAAAAGTTTGCGAACGACGCGTTCGCACCGAACGCTTTTCGCATGAAGTTTCCGGCGTTGCACGTTGGATTATGTCAAACGCTCCATGAATTCGATGTTCCGCACGAGGTGGCTGTGCGATTGATTCAAAGCTTCTTAAAAATGTATCACGCTATGTTTGTTGCGATTTACGAGGCTTCCGGAGTCAAAGGAGTTGTCGAAAGCATTAAAGACATGGGGCAGCAAATCGTGGGGCGTAAACTTCTTGGCGAAGAGGCGAACAGTGTACGCGAACGTCAAGCTGAGCTGCATAAGCAGTTGAAGGAGAAAGAAACAATATTTTATAAAGAACTCGTCGTTTTGCATGAAATTTTTAACACGGGGGCAGCTGGATTCAAACCCTCAGTCACGAGTCAACTGGGTGTCGCATCGGCAAAAGCCCGCGGCGAGGCGGCTCTCGGCGGTAACGCATTCGAAGACGTATTTGAAGACTTCCGAGCTGATCTCATCTCGGCGTTGAGTGAAATGAAACACATGAAAATCCGAGCAACCAGTACGCTGGAATTTGGTGCGTCGTTCGGCGTCGAATTGTCGCACGTTTTGTTTCGCGAGGGAGAAATACTCAGCGAGTTCTTTGAAAAGGAAGAAACTATTTCTAAGGAACTGGTCTACCCGATCGGGCCTGGTCTCTTCGCGGTGGTTTCCGTTGAATTGGATGTTAGACTACCGTACTATTTCCGCGCGGAAGTGGAAGGCTCGTTTGAGTTCGAAGTTTCCGTTGCCCTTCCCGTCACTTTGTCACTCGGAGGCAGCGCAAGTGCAACTTACGTGCGTGTCGGTGCACCGCAGATAAGCATCGATAGCCCACTGGCCGGGTATGCCGTTGCTGGCATGCAAATCGGCGCGGTGGCTGAGATTGTCAGCGCGTACGTCGCGCTTTGCGCCGGTCCGGTGTGCGCGGGACCTGATATTCAAGCGCGACAGGATGTCTACATTGGATTCGACATTTTCGCTCAAATGCAGGAAGGGGACGCAATGTGTTATGCAGGACCTGAATCGCTCACCGCCATGTGGACCGACTGGGATTACAGCGATGCAACGAAGAATCAGTGTCGTCGCAGCCAACTGGGCACGGGAGCCTATTTGCAGATCCCGAAGACGATCTTGGCCGCGCAAGTCGTACTTAAACCTCTTCCTACGATCGAACTACCGGCCGGTATGGAACCAGTGGTGACTTTGATTGATCTCGAGCCATTCATCAGTGCGGCGCACGACAGTCGCGGAAACTACCTCGCGCAAGAGTTATTTCACGCGTGTACGCTCCCTCAAAATGAGCCCATCGATTCGTGCAATCCCGTCTGCCAGTTCACGAAATCGGTCCCGCATCCTATCCCGGCAGGTATTGATGCGCTGAAGCGACAAATGCAAGCAGCAGGGGCAGTTATGAATTCAGATCGTAAAGTTCCAATGGATACTGTCGAGGTTCGCACGGTTACGCTGCAGTTGACTGACGGGTTTGTAGACACGGGAATCTCTGATCTCGAATCCGGTTCGTATCTCATCGAAATGTATTCCGTCAACACAGCCAGCGTCGGTGGTAATCTATGGAGCGAAACCTACACTGGTCTAATGACGTGGTACAACAGAGGTACAAACGATCAAGCTGCAAGTCATATCTTATTGCACGCTGCTGGACATGCAAGCAATGACAATAAAATCTTGCTTCAAACGCTCGAAAACTCGCACGGTTCCCTGTCACTGCAAGTCAGACTCAGCGGGCGCACGCCCAGAAATCCCCAAAGCTACACTTTCAAGTTTCGTCGAGTGCTCCCCGATCCACTGTCGGTGCCACCCATCGGTGGTGTCGCGCCGCGAAACGTCATGGATGATTTGTCCTACTTTCCGGTGACCCTGACGACGTCACCTGGCGAGTGGATTGATACCGGGATTCACGGAGATGACCTGTCTTTAGGGTCGTACTTCGTCCAGATTGCCAACGTTAATACATACAGTAATGGTGGCAATCAGTATCGAGAAACATACACGGGCGTCATGTCATGGTTCTCAGGGGGCACGAATTCGTACGAGTCAAACGAGATAGCGTTGCACGCCGCTGGTCATGCGATAAACGGCAAGTACGTCAAACTTCGAACTCAACGCTCGTCATACCAGCAAAATACCGGCAAAAATCTCAGACTCCAACTTTCTACGAACGACGGCCTTGTGGACCCACAAACATATCACATATGGTTTCGACGTATATTTCCGGCACAGACGGGCACTGCTATGCCGATTCCATCTGGCATACCTGTCGACACAATATACTTCTTCACGAAGACGTTCGTACTCAGTGAAGTCTGGACACCCGTAGGCATTGATCACACTGCACTTGCCTTAGGCAGTTACGCTGTTCAGATCTTGCCCGTCGAGTCGAAGAGGTACGGCGGTGTTATGTATTCTGAGCTGGCATCTGGCGTCATGACGTGGTACAATCGAGGTACAAACGACAACTCTTCGGATGAGATTGTTCTACACCAAGCTGGCCACGCGCCAAACAACGATCGCTTGCAACTTCGAACTCGTCGGAGAGGTCAGAGTACTTTGCAGCTTGAGATTCGATCGCAGTTTTCCACAAGTAGGATTGGCGAATACTGTTTTGCGTTCCGGCGTCTTGTCTAAATTTTGAGTCCATCACGTCAGAAGCCGAATCTGAGGAGTACCACAGTATATATGGAGAGCACTTTGCTCAAGTCCAACGCGGCCGCTCTCAGTGAGTCCTCGTTAGTCACCAGCGGTGGCGATCGCCCGACACGTGTTTTCCACCTCGCTTCGACGTGCATCTTCCCCTGCGCGTCGTCTCGATCCATCATCGACGTCCATCCGACGGGCGAGGTCGTCGATGCGTCCCGTTTTTATGGCTCGAAATGTCGGACATTTGGGTAGTCGTATTGTGTAGTGCTTGACAGTGATATGATTGTAATGCATACATAGCGATCTGTACATATTGGAGCGAATGTGGCGTCAAACGGAAAAACGCCGAACGGCCCGTCGGCAGATTGTCGCCCCCGACGCCTCGCGCACGGCCTAGATGTTCGCTCTGCCCGCGGCGACGCCCACCGTGGCCGCGGCCGGTCCGATCGCGTCGACGAGCGAACCTTCGAGCACGAAGAGCGGTGATGGGAGCTCACCCGCGTCGAGGTTTCAGCACCTCCTGTCCGCCCTGCGAAGGCTCGAGCTCGGACGGGTGAGCGAGCGCGATCGAGAGCGCGCGCGCGCGGCACTTCGATTGAACGAGAAGCGTCTGCGAGAGGCGGTGTTTTTTGAGCCGCGTCGAGCCGAGGATGCGGCCAAGGTGACGTCGGGAACGGTGACGCTGAGCCACGGACTTGAGGTACGCCTGGGAGAGTTGGACGTGGAGCACGCGAGTAAGATCGCGGTGGCGCTGGACGTTAATGAGATAGCGAGCGTCGAGCTCATAGTAGGCGCGATAGAGAACGGGGCGCCGGCGGACGACGTGGTGCCGTCGGCTGTGGGGATTTACATGCGCGAGCGCATGGCGGCGCTGGAGTCGCTACTCGTCGTTCTGAGGTGCGCCGATGGATCGACGCCGCTCGATGGCGTCATGGACGAAGAACTGAAGGAATACGCCGAATGCCTGCTGAGGGATGGTTCGCTTTTCGGACAGCTGGTGAAACTCGTCACGGCGCCACCGCCTGGCGGACCGTTTCTTGTCGCACCGCAACAACCACAGGCTGGCGCGCTAGTGCTCACAAACGCACCGACTCAACCTGTCGGACGTGCGCTTGGTCCGATGGATAAATTGTTCGACATTCGCGGGCGTCCGATGTTGCGACAAGAATGCGTTGCACAGGAGCGCAGGTTAGTTGTTGAGTGTTTGTTCCACTCGGCTCGTGTTTCACCAAGCCTGAGCATTGAAAACGCCCAGGCGCTTTTAGTTTTAGCCGGAAGATCGGCTGATGCGATGAAACAGCTGGAGAAAGTTGCAGTAGAGGATGTCCCAACCGGATACGGCTCAATTTTCGCCGCCGCGGCAATGTTCACACCTGTCAAATCAGGAGTGGAGTCCGCGATGACGAAGATGGAGCTCGCAAAGGGTGTGCTGTCAGCGATCAATTCGCCGAACGCGCCGCCACTCTTTTCGTTCATTCGATTCGCATGGGCCACGTTGGGTCTTGATTTGGGGTTACCAGAAGCCGAGGAAAGTATTCGAGAGAGTCTGAAGAACGATGGCCTCGAGGCCATTGATCTGATTCTGAAAACAGGCGTATTTCAAGACGAACACGTCGCCGCTCGATCTCAGAATCTGATGCTCGTAGATACAATTCTATCCCGGTACCTGCACCATAACCTGCGTAAAACAACGTTGCATAGAATGCTCACTGACGGCACAGGTGTGCGGGCACCTTTTGTGGAAAATGGAGTCACCATTGAAATCGATCCGGCGAAACCCATGGCTGATTTATGCTCCGTATTCTCAGAGATCTACACGCAAAAACCAGAAATGGCGGACGGTTGCTCAAATTTAAAGAGTTTTCTCGAGATCGCAGGTGATAGCGAGCACTCCGTCGGCTCACTGGTGAAACTTTTGGATCTTTGCAGGACCATTGCGCAGACGACTGAAGGATCGAGACGCATTTTTGAACTTCTTCAACGTAGTCAAGGCGCGGCCAACTGGGATCGTTTGTTGGGTGCGCTGATTGGTTATGTACAGCGTTTCATGTCGAGTCCGGATGATTTGTTAGACGCTGGAGAAGAGTACGATCCGAGAGATGGGGAGCCTGAGATGAACGAGGCAGATGCCGAGGGATTACGAGCCTATCTGTCCGTGTTCAAGGCAGTGATGGAACACGCTGAGCGCACGGACGCTGCACACTGGCTTATGTGGCTAGAACATAGGATTGGAGCGTCGTTGATGGATGCGCTGCTTCAGTTATACATCAATCCGGTTCCGTCGTCACTCAAGGCGTCGCTTCTAGACGCTATTAGCGCACTTTGTTGGGATTCGAACAAGGCGTCGGACGTTTGGCAACTACTCGACCAGGCAGGTATATTGCCGAATCCGTCACAAACTGGTATGTTACAAACGGTGCAGTCGCAGAGGTGCGATATTCTGTACATTTACTCCGTGGTCGAATCGCAGGAACAGTCGTATGCGAGCACCGCAGCGTGGCTACGTTTGATCAGTAAACTCTTGATGATAACCCAAGACAGCGAACTCGGACCTTGCTCGGACGCATGCAGTCCAGCATGGTTTCATTCTCGATTTATTCGAGAGCGACTTTTCGGCGAACTAGACACACGCGTGCACAAGGACCAAACGGAGCGCTGGAGAATGGCTCGCGATTGCATCGACCACTTCCTGTTTGTTCTGCGAACGAGTGAAAATTATCCGTCCATCTCTGGTATGGAAGACTCAGGCACACCGAATATAGGTGCTCCTCTAGTCATCAGTCAGGGCGAGTCTTCAACAGCATTGACGATCAGGAATGCGGATCAATCTCAAGGTGTATCTGATCGATCGGGCACCCCAGGCTCAGATATCCTCTTGGACTTCTTAACGACTGGGCCGACTTTCAGAATGGTGATGAACATCCTTTCTATTGGTGCGGAGCATCTGAGTTTCGAGCGGAATGCGCCTCATGGTGACGCGTTGGAGCGCTGTGTATTAGGTTCTTTGCAGTTGCTCGACTACATGATGTCGATTGACGTACATGCAGTCAGGAAGCTGCGTGTGAAGAATAAGGAAGCGTTCTTCTATCGTACCGTGGATGAATCCTTAAGTGCAGATATTACGCTGATGGCGAACGTGCTCGGCTATGTTCAGTACAAGTATAGCGCCGAGATCCCGCTGGCGGCGCTTAAAATTTTGCGCGTTCTCTGTAGCCGAATAGATCACATTGTGCTAGTACTTCCTCCGGTCTCGAGAGCCGCGCTGGTGGAGGGTTGCGCAAGCTGTCTGGAGCTCGCTTTTGCCATGCCTCCTCCAGGCGAAGGTGAATCAATAGCGGACGAGAACGCTCAAAATGCGATCGAATGTGCCAGTTTAGTATTTGCGCTGCTTCACGAAAACTTGACGCGTCCGGGTACTAACCTATCACACCTGTTATTGGGCTTTGATCTCACTGGAGCGTCAAGCGAGATGGCCTTACGGCCGTTTTCAGAGTTCAACTGTTTGAGCGTACTCTTCGAGCTTTTAGAGGCAGCTCCGCCCTCGATGCACGCCAGCGTCGTCTTACCGTTTGAAGCTCCAGAACTCGCCGCAGATTTGTTACACCGTCTCGCGACGTTGAAGTCTACTGCGCCGCCCGTATTGGCACTGCTCCAACAGTGGCCGCCGCACGCACCAAGCGCAGTGCTACCAGATTTACTCGCAGATGCGCTTCGTACGCATCTTCCAGATGAACCGGCGAAAAGAAGATCCGTGATGCATCATCGTGCAAGTATTTTGCGTCTGTGCGCAGAAGTTCTGGACGTTGAGTCTCCTCCAGCAAAGAACCGCCTGCCAGAGATGGCGCCGGCGCTTGTATTGGATATCATGACTGTTTTGCTCGATAACGGTCGAGAAGGCCTCAGCACGTACGCACACGATGTGAACGTTGAGCACGGTCAGTTTGCGGTATTAGAGCTCCCGAAGAGCATCACTCATTTATCGGGGGCGCACCACGAACACGCGATTACAGCAAACTTTGGTCCCGAGATACTTGAGACGATGGAGGAACTCTCAGCGACGCAAATTTTGGACGATTCCAAGCAAGTGAGCGAGGGTGGGATATTCGCTTTCAATAAAAGAGGCGACAAGATTATTGATGCGGATGTTGTGCGTGCCAAGCTTCAGGCGGAGTGCAAGCGGCTTGAATCTGAATCGAACGGGTACATGGTGAGGCAAGATGCAGTACTTGTTGCTAAACTCCAGCGCGAACGCGCAATCGATGCCTGTCTCCAAGTTGTGGAAGCTCGAAACACCGTTGTTGAGGACGCCACGGCCCGATCGGAAACATTTGTTGCGTGGGAGCAACTGCTTACCACCGTCGTTTCCAGAGGATTGTCGAGCATTGTCACTGCAATAGAGCTCCAGAGAGCTGTGGTGACGATGGCGAATGTGCCCGCAGACGAAGGGCCAATGAGCGCCCATAGCATCATATTCGAACTTGTGGACGGTGTTCTGGCCGGTATCTGTGAGGCCGAGCCGTTCGGAGGTGGTTCCGACGTCGCCAAGGCCGTGCCCTTCTGTCGACTGGTGCACACAATGCTCTCGCATCTTCGCCAGAGGGGCGAGGAAGACCGTTCGAAGAATGATACGAGCGTCTTCCTCGCGCCGTCAAAGTGCCGAGCCTTGCTGAGGAGTCTCATCGCGTGCTTACTGCATCGCTCACCTTTACCTCAAGCGTCAAGACAGGACATCATCAACGCCCTACTTGATTACCTGGCATACTGTAGGCCTGATGCGTTGGGCGTCAGTCCAGTGACGAAACAAGGGCAGACAATCTCTGGGTTGAGTGCATCCTTTTCGCAAGCGGCTGACGTTGATATCGAGAAAGCAAACGCCGCCATAATTCAGCGCGATGCGACTGCGCTGGTGGACGTTATATCTCGAGACGCTCTGGAGGGTTCAAATGATACCAAGGCAGTTGCCTTGGCTGCGCTCGAGGCGATGGTCACCGTGTGCGCACACACAGGTGGCGGTGGCATCGTCGTTCTTCTGCTGCAGAATGGTGTCGCTAAAGCATGTCTGCGTGAGCTGGAGCGAGTCTCCATGCCAGATTTGGTGCTGAATACACCTCGTGCCGCCTCTCAAATGAAGGCCATTGAGGCGTCTCTTTCGCTGCTCATGCGCATGGCGCAAAGCGAACCGGGTCAGATGATTGCACTGGGAACGCTTACTTCTTTGACCAACTGTCGCGCAATCGACGCATACGCCGACATCCATAGCGCTTCCGCGACTATGGCGACGATGTCCGTGGATAAGCCATACTCAGAGCTTCCGATCCCTCGAGCGAGACATCACAAGCTCCTCGTGAACGTCATTCGCCTCGCTAGAATTCTCCTTGCTTCAGATCTGCAGCCGAAAACACCGGTTTCACCGGTCTTGGCGCAGTACAAGGGGGGCGTTATCGAGAGCATTGGCTATCCATCAGTTGTGGCGCAAGTTTTGGAGTTCGTCGAGGCACACGCGGCAGTGATCCACCGCGTACTCGCGGACCGCGCCCCTCAACCACACCTCGCTGATTTGGCAGAGCTCGAGGTGACGGTCGACTTGGTGACGAGATTGCTCAAGGGTGGCATCACACCGGATCCGAAGCTTCGTCTGCACGGTGCGATCGACGTGCTCACCGCGATGATTTGCGGCGCCGAGGCGAACAAGTATTCAAAGTTCATTTCGAAAACTTTGGGGCACGCTGAGGCGGATGATGACGTGATGCTTGCTTCCTCGGACGACGCTCACGCGATCGACGCCGCTGAGCGTATGTTGGCACGATTCATCAACGTCCGAAGCATGGTTCTGAGTGCGCAGCGCGTACTCGTGAATAAAGGTCTGACCAAGTTCACGTTCTCTGTGTCCGATGGCGTCGTGGGCGATGAAAGGCCAACTGTTCATCTCTTCGGCACGCTCGTGATTGAGCTTTCGGGCGAACTCGATAGACTGTGTAGGGCGAGAAAATATGCGCTCAAATCAATCGAATACGGCTCAATTTTGCGAACTAGTGACGTGAGTGAGTCAGATTTGGTCGCCAAGGTGGCCTCGCTCGAGGCCGACATTCGTACCATAGTGATCAGCGCTGAAAACTCGCTAGAGATTTTGTACGCGCACCTTCACTCGTTGGTACAAAAGGGAGAGGACGACAGCCTTGTTGCACCCTCGGCGGAGCTCAGCGGTGGAAATGCGAAAACACACGAGTTGGGCATATTAGCCTCAGTCATGATTCCGAGCTTGCAAGCGCTCATCGAGTACGACAAATTGGTACTCGGGCTAGATACGGAGTTCTTAAACATGATTGCCACGCGTGTCAGGGACACCCTGGCGGCACCAAATAGTGGATCACTGCGGCAACGATTTGGAATTGCGTAAATCGTACCGTATAAGTAGACAGCAGTACTTTGATGACCATGAAACACAATTTAGCAAAGCGAAACGTAATTAAACAAGGAGCTGCGCGCTATACTCTATACTCTATACGTTATTACACACCGGCGGATGCGGATCCCTTCGCTGATAACGGTGGCGATGGCGGTCGCTCGTGTACCAGCATGTGTGGCTTGGCAACGAGTCGACAGTGCATCGGGTTCAGCCATTTCTGCTCTCCCTCTTCTTTGTTGATCGCTGTTTTGTTTTTCCTCAAATTTTCCAGCGCGTGTGGTATCACCTTCGTTCGTATCCATTTCATGCATGGCATCACTATGTGCGCCTTGACTTCGTAGTTGTTGTGATCCGCGCCCTGTTGCGTGAACATACTTATCGATGGCGGCTTGCACGGCACCCGATCGGCGTTTACGACGTGCATGGTGTCAACAAGCTTGTTCGAGTGCTCGTACGGAATGATCTCGTCCTGATCGCCGTGTAATAGCAGCACGGGGCACTCCACCTCGGCGAGATTCTCCATAATGTTCCAGCCATCGCCGATGGCGTAGCGCCCGACTCCAATGTACCTCGCCGCCAAGTCCCGAATCGACGTGAACGGACTCTGAAGCACGAGACCGGCGGGAGCGCCGTTCTGCACGCACATCAAACGTGCCAGCCACGTCGCAGGACCAGTTCCGATCGATCTACCGAAGATGATCATCCGACTTTGCGGAGCGAGGAGATACTTGACGCAATACTTGACTGTCGCCTTAACGATGGTGTTCACGCTCTCCTCGTGCGAAATCCCGTCCGCGACGCCGTAGCCGGGATACTCCGGCACGATCACGTGCGAGCTCAACCCGATCGCGAGTTTCATGGCCTCCTCCGCGCAGTCCCCAACGTCGCACGCGTTCCCGTGCAGGTAAATTACGAAGAAATCAGCCGCGCACTGCTCGTCGCCGCTCTTCGTCTCGCGCGACCGCATGATTCGCATCGCGCACGTCCGCAAACCCGAACTCGTTTGCCCGTCCCCGATCGCGTAAGGCATCCCGCACGACACGTGCGTTCGACGATCGCACACCTCTAACCCGACCAGCGTCTTCCTGTACACAACCGACGCGTCCACGGGATCGCGCGCGTCCTCCCCCAAGCCGCCGCCCATCCAATCGTACGACGACGTGCGATTTCCGATCACATCGCGCGGTCTTCCCGGGAACATCGCGAACCGCGCGAGATCGGTTCGCGCTCTGAACCAACGCAGCGAGGACGACGTCGACGTCGCGATCGTGGCGTAACACCGACTCGCGTCGTCACCAATCTTTTTGATCCCATCCTCATCCGCCGCCGACACCGACGCCGACGCCGACGCCGACGCCGACGCCGTCGTCCCGTTCGCTCGCCCGCGCGCGCCCTCGGTGACGAGAATCCCTCGCGTCGTCGCCATCGCGTCGCCGTCTCGCGCCGCGCCCGCGCGGGGCGGTGGCCCACGCGGGCCAATCACGACGTCCGACACATCCACGAGCGCCAATCACATCGCGTCGATGCCCGAGTAAATGTTATTCGTGTAAAGTTCTGACTACGAGGAAGCTGAGCCGAAAGGCGCCAGCCTGGTGGACCATAGGACCGGACCAATGGGATTGGGCCGGACACATGCGTCGACGCGTTCTGGCGATCTGTACGCGTGGGCGCTCGACAAGTGCGAACGTACCCGAGAAAGTCTACGAACCCCCTGAAATCACCCGAAAATGGCGAGGGGTGGGACACATGGAGCCGGACATCCGGCATTTACTGCCCGTCACGCGCGCGCGTCTCGCGATGGCGTTCATCCCCCTACGATACGACGCCGGACCCCATCGCGGTGATCCCCGCGACCGCGGGATCCGCCCCGCGCGCGCGCCTCACGTCGCGCCTCGCGCCCCGCGCGCGCGGCGACGAGAGCGATGGGGGACGGCGCCGAGCCGAGCGCGCGGCGGCGTGGGAAGGTAATTTATTCCCCATCCATCGCGCGCGCGAACGGGGGTATGCGACGTCGACGCGCGGCGAAGACGTCGACGATGGGGCGCGCGGTCCGGCGCCGGGTTCACCGCGGGCACCGCGTCGGCGACGCGGTGACGCGCTCGGACGTCGCGTCGGGACGCGCGCGTGGACGGATAGCGCGGAACATTTTTCAACGCGCGTTTCCGCGGTTCGGGAGCGGGGAGTTCGTTCGAGGCGTCGGTCGAGGGCGCGCGTGCGCTACGGTTGGTTTTCCGCGTTCGACTGACAGCTGAGTCATACAAACGCGACGCGACTAGGTGAAGTGGTTCAACTGCACCAAGGGATTCGGGTACATCACGCCGGACGATGGTGAACCCGATGTATTCGTCCATCAAAGCGCGCTGAAGATGGAAGGATTCAGAAGTCTGTGGCAGGTACGACGAAGAGACGAAGACGACGGACGCGCTCGGAGGGACTGACGGGCGACGCTTCGCGACGCAGGGCGATTCTGTTGAGTTCGACGTCGAGCACGAGAGTCCGACGGATGAGCGATTGAAGGCGGTGTGCGTTACGGGCATTGGTGGAGCTCCGTTGAAGGCGCCGCCGCGAACGAATTACAGACGATCAAGTAAGAAGAGAGGGCCGAGACGCGAGTCAGACGGCCCCAAAGACGAAAGCAAAACAACTCAAAGGACTGCGTAGATAAAGATTACTCTGATTTGTTGTTGTTGCGTTGAGTCGCTAGAAACGCCGAACTCAATTGCATCGAGGACGCGAACACGAAGTTTCCATCCGTTTTCGGAGGTAAATTCATAGGCGAAGTTATGCCAGCCCGCGATACGGAGCGATGTACACTAGCCCGCTCCGCGTTGAATGTACCAGTAGCGATGATTATTCCAACCCGCTGAGGGAGCGATGTACGCTAGCCCGCTCTCTTTGGTTGTACCTCATTAGTCTATCTAGCCACGTAGCTCCAATTTTTGACTATTTCGGTATGTCGAAACGCTCCACGCCCAACAAGCGCCCTTCCAACCAGAGTCACATCTCACTTTCTCGCGTCTCCACTTCGCATCATCGAAGGATCGACGAGATGACGCACGAAGTCAACATCGACGCGCTCGTCCGCGCTCGAGACGCATTCGACGCGCGCGGATACGTCGTCGTTGAAGATTTACTTTCGAGCGATTTCATCTCTGAGTGTCGAGAAGAGTTTCAAGCCATCGCGCGGTGCGTATCGAGCGTACTCATGCGCTCTGATACGCGCGACGTGGGACTAACCGCGTGATATTCGTGCGCGTCTAGGGAGACGATAGGTGACGAAGCGTCGGAGACGGAGAGCTTCTGGGGGCGGTTGGAGGCGCTCGGGTGCGTGGTGCAGGTGAACGAGTCGACGACGTCGGACGCGTTCGACGCCGACGTGAATCATCGCGCGAACGGGTCGCGTGCGGCGTGCCGAGACGTAGTTTCTAGAGCATTGACGCGAGTCGGTGCGATCGGGACGTACGCGACGGCGTTGTTGCGGACAGAGGATGCGCGGTTATTTAACGACCAATACGTCGTGAAGCCGCCAGCGAGAGGATGCGCGTCGCTTCAGATGTCGTGCTTTGCGTGGCACTACGATAGCCAGTGGTGTCACGATGACGTTGATTGGACGTGTGCGCCGTATGTGAGCTGTTGGGTAGCTTTGGACGACGTAAGCGAGGAGAATGGGGCGTTACGCATGCTGCCGTACCCTCCCGCACAGGCGGGCGCTTCGCATCGCGAGAGAGCGAACTCTTATCCCGATCGTGATACGCTGCCATCGCCTTTGGACGAAGACGGGTGTGAGATCGGGCGGTTGCTGACGATGCGAGCCGGGTCTGTGGTGTTCTTTAGTGACGTCGTCTTGCATTGCAGTGGACCGAACTTGAGTGGTTCGATTCGCCGAGCGTGGATGCCACAGATCTCGGCTGGACCCGTGGTACGACGAGATGACTCACCGGTGAGTTTGACGGCAAAGTTGGCGAGTTTGTAGTGGATAGACTAGTTTGTAGTGGTGATAGATGTTTGAATGATACATGTTTGTGTGTTTAACCAGTCGACTCCGAATGTTGAGCTTTCTCGAACCTTTTGCGCTCCAGCATGCGCTCTCTCTTTCCTTTTCGTTGCGTCTTTTTCTTAGGTTTAGTATTGGTTTGCTCCACCCCATTCACCGGCGTTCGCGGCGCGTCCACGTTCGAAGACTGTTGTGCCTTGGATCCATGTGCCATAGTTTGAGGAGGCACGCCAGGTGGCACGCCTGGCGGTACTGGCGCCGAAACCGAGCGCATAAGTGCAGCTAGTTGCTGAGGTGGCCCTGCGCGCGGTGGGAAGCCTGGCATCGCGTGTGGTAACTGGGAAAAACCAGGCGGACCCATTGACGGTGATCCGAAAAACTGAGGCATGTTAGAAGCCATCGGCATGGTGTGCGGATACACGCCAGGAATTCCGTGCGAACCAACAGGTGGTCCGTGCACCAGAGGGTACACGTGAGGCCGAGGATGGTAAGGATGTAAGATTGGAACATGTTGAGCAGGTAACACGGTATGCGTCGCCGGAGACTGCGCTTGCACGGACGACTGAGGAATGTCCATCATAGGAGCGTTTGGCTGTGTGTTCACGGGCGTCTGAAGTCTCTCCTTTGTCTTCTTCTTCTTCACCGTTTTTTTCTTCTCACTAACGCTCTCCGCATCGGACTTCGTATCGGATATGTCTAGGGCAGAAACATCGGGCATCGGCGGCGGGTCGGACTGTTTTTTGCCTCGTTTGTTCCTTTCCTTGTACCCTATTGCCGACGGTGCGGCGTCATCATTAGTTTTTGGTTTAGGCGTCCTTTTTGGTACTACCGATTCGTTCTTCTGTTTCTGTTTCTTTTCGTGTTTCTTTTCATTTCCTCCTCTCACCTTTGGCGCCCGATCGACCTGCTTAATCTTCGTCGCCTTTGTGGTAGACTCCCAACTGTCGTCAACAAATCGCTCAGCCGCCTCTGCTTCAAGTCGACGACGCTCAACTTCGGCCTCCGCTTCTGCGATTTGTCGAGCCGCCTCGAGGGCGGCATTTCTCGCCTCGGCTTCAAGTCTCGCATGCATCCTCTTTTCTCGCCGCTCCGAGGGTAAAGGGAAAGGATCGTGGGCCTTCTTAGCGAAAGGAAAGTAAAGCTTCGCCGATTCTCCTCCATGATCGGGTTTGACCGCGAACGGGCCCGACTTTGATCCTGCGTCGCGTAGCATGTCCACGACCAGCACTGTAATATCATCTCTATTATCCTTTTGCTGTTGAGCGAGCTTATTCAGCGCAGCCGCCGCGCTTTGTGCGTTCAACTTTGAAGCACACGCGGACGCTTGCTTGGGAGTCGCGGCGTCCCACAATCCATCGCTCGCGAGCACGACTCGAGCGCCGTGAAACCGATCGGGTATAAGCACCATACTCACCTCTGGTTCACTTATCACGCCCCCTTTCTTCCCGTCTCTGTCACCGATCGATCTTGAAACCGCGAGCCCGCCCGGCCATACGCGTAACGGACCGACGCCCACGCGCTCGCCGTTCGGTCCATCTTCGTACTCCGTCGGCCGCACCTCTCCCCCAGCCTCCTCAATCCGTTTTCTCTCACTCTCGGACGAATCCAAACGATGCTCAACACTCAAGCGAAGCACGGGAATCCCAGGTCCGAGATCCAACGTCGCCAACGAATCGCCCACCGCGGCTGTGGTCACCATCCGTCCTCGAACCGCGCACACCGTCGCCGTTGACCCACTGTGCACGTCCATGGCTACGAACGTCTCATCCACAACCTTAAACGCCCGTCTCAAAGCCTCGGGGATCCTGCGCTCGAACGCATCGCCCGCGTCTTCGTCCTCGCGCAACGCTCCGTCGCCGTCCAGTCCGCGCGTCACCTCTCCCGCGAACGTCTCCGCGCAGTGAGACGCACACGCCTTCCCACCGTGCCCGTCGAACAGGCCGTACAGCCCAAACATCACCGCGGGCGCGTCTTCACCCGTCGCCCGTCGCGGCGTCCACGTGAGCGCTGGGACGGAGAGGTCGAAGTCCTCGCCCTTCTGAACTTTTCGACTTCGAGCGACGATCGAGGCGTCGAGGTCGTCGTCGTCCACGGTCCGTGCGAGCGGTCCGTCGGAATGAGGCCGGGACATGACGCGCGGACGCGCGAGCTCGAGCGCGCGCGCGCGCGGGAACGCGACGCCGACTGGAGTGGGAGCGCGCGAGCGACGAGGCGAGGGGAGCGCGACGCGAACGGTTGGACGAGACGCGCGGGATTTTAAATATCGCCGTGGATCGCTCGTCCAAGTTCGATGCGAGTTCAACGGTATGTGTCGCCTTAGCTATCATCGCATCTTACCTACCGGGTCGTGCTCTAGGATCTCGACGTCGAGACCCATGTCTCGCTCGAGCGCCCGCAAACCTTCATCCAGGGCGGCGTCGGCGTTCGCCGGGAGCCGAACCAACGCGTCGACGAGGAACAACCGTTCGTTTCCGAAAGGTGCTATCGCGGTATCCGTACTCATGCTCTCTATGTTCATCCCGCGGTCGAACAGCGCGCGCGCGAACGCGTGAGTGATTCCCGGGAAATCCGTTCCTCGCAAGAGCACTCGACGATGGCTCACGCCAGCCGCCGACCCGCTCTCATCCACGGTCTCCGTCGACGCGCGCACGCTCGACGTGAGGTTCTCTATCGCGTCCAGCGCGTTTTCGAACGCAATGACGTTCACCCGCTCCCCGTCTCGCCCCGCGAACGCGACCAACATTGTCATCGTAAAGTCGCCTCGCAAGCGCGCCATTCGACTCTCCTCCACGCTTCCGCCGTGTCGCAACACGACCTGCGCGACCTCGCTCACGATGCCCTCGCGATCGGGACCGAACGCGGTGACGACGCGTCGGATTACCGAGCCCGGCGTCGTGAGCGAGCGGCGCGCGGTGCCCTCCGTCGACGTCGAGGCGTGCCGGAAGCGCTCGCAGAAGTGTCGGAAGTCGTTCGACGCGCTTTCATTTCGGCCAGCATCGCGCGCGCGAGGAGCGATGATCGCGGAGTGACTCGCTTTCGCGACGCGCGTGAGCTTGGTAACGTCGCGGTGGGCGCGCATGGCGCCGAAAAAGGCGCGACGAACGCGTTGGGGTGTGTCGGAAAACGAGTCGAGTTGTGTGTTGCAAGCTAAGTTACACTTCATTCGTCGTCGACGCCGAGCGAGCCTGTGACGGTGAAACCGTAATTCTCTTCATCTGCCTGCATGAAGTTCGCGCCCGGACCGAGGGGTGATGCCTTCGAGGTGTTTCGCTCGAACTGAGCGGCGATTGAGAGTTTGGCGAGTGGTCAGTCTATGGTCAGCGAAGCGGTTTGAAGATGCCGGAATTCTTCTCAAACTGCGGACGTGCGGGAAGGGTGAGCGTCGTCAGACAGGGCCGTCCTCGGTTCGGGCGTGCGACGATGCAAAAAGTGTCGAGACGTACCCTGTAAGAAATGGCGGGATTGCGACGAAGTATTTCAGCCGGATCTCCCCCGAAGACGTTTTTAATGTCCTCGAGCAATGCGTCAATGTCGACGAAGAGCAACGAAGGGAAATCTGATAGCATAAGATCCACTCTGCAATCGGGTGGCATCGCCGCACGTGTCGCCGCAACAGCACATTCGGCGATTGCGTACGACTTCGCGTCCAGGCACACCCACGGCTTGGCTCTACAAATCTTTGCCACGTCCGCATCCGGCATGAGCTTCTTCAGCGCCACCGCGCGCGCGGCGACGACGTCAAAATCGCTCGCTTCCGCTAATAAACATGACGGCATCGCGTCGAAGAACCTATCGGCGTCCATACCGACCTCTCCAAACGTTTCCCTCGTCCTCTTCACCCGTTCGCGTACCGCGTCGAGGTCTTCAACGCGCAATAAATCCGGCTCTCTCGCGCACATCTCCGCAATGTCCAACGACGCGCTCGCGAAGAGCTTTCTGAGCCCCAACACGTTCTTCGTCGCCCCCGACAGGTCCCCCGCTATCCTCAGCAGCTCGACGCGCGTGATCTCGCCGTTTCGCTCGCGTCTCCGAAGTCCCTCCACCAGCGTGAACAGCCGCTCGACGTCCCGCTCCAACGCCTCCGCGTCCACGCCCTCGATCTCGTCCGCCACGATCTCCGCCGCGAGTCGACCCAACGCGTCGTCCTCGCGT